CTCGTAGGACCGATATCTTGCTCGCAAGGTTTCAAATACGTCTTAACAGCTATAGATAGGTTCTCGCGATGGCCTGAAGCAGTGCCGTTGAAAGAAATAGATGCGGAAACAGTGGCAAAAGCTCTAATGGGTGCCTGGATCTCTCGTTTTGGCATTCCATTAAGAATAACGACAGATCAAGGTCGTCAGTTCGAGTCCCAGTTATTTAAGGAGCTTACCCGTCTGTTAGGTGCATTACACCTTCGCACAACGGCATACCACCCGCAAGCTAATGGCATGGTCGAAAGACTGCATCGGCAATTAAAGGCTGCCATAAAATGCCATGAGAAGGAAAATTGGGTGGATCGGCTACCTATAATTCTCCTTGGAATCCGCATGGCGTACAAAGAGGACCTGAAGGCCACCGCGGCCGAAATGGTGTACGGTGCAGGTATACGTTTACCCGGAGAATTTTTTATCGAAAGTAGTAAGGAAGGTAGTTCGGAGTTCGCAAACCAAATGCGTGAACATATTCAGAAACTGCGACCTGTACCAGCGTCGAGACATGGTGCGAAGAAAACGTTCGTTTTCAAAGAACTTTCCTCGTCTCCATTTGTATTCGTTCGTCATGACGCTGTAAGAGGCACATTGCAACAAACCTACGATGGACCCTTCCAAGTCGAAAAACGCGACGAAAAGTATTTTACGCTAAAAATTAACAATAAAAGTGTAAAGATAGCGTTAGACAGAATAAAACCGGCGTATATAACGAATTGCGAGCTAGAACAAAATGTAATATCGCAAGAGGAATCTGATAACGATGAGGTAACCGTCAAAGTTTTAATCCCATGTTTCCGTCACGAGCGTGGCATACGGGCCGCGGCAACACATGAGGCGGTTATCGCGCTCCTGCCCGCCTCGTATACGAACGCTCTGGTTGGTTGGTAATTTTTGTTAATAACTCGACAACCACGCGTCGGACAACTTTTTTGCAAAGAAAAAAGTCGTTTAAAATCACCATGGCTCCTCCCCATTTCAAGGCCTAACACTAGTTCTGGGACACCCTGTATATATATATAATAAATTACTTATTATAAATCTTATTCGAAGATCGGCCCACGAATAAAAACTTAACTGAGTTTCTGTAATAGGAGAAACGACATTTAAAGTTAATATTCTTCTCGTGTCCTTTCCTCTTTACAAATTGGTTAAAGATCACACTTTTATTTAATGCACACTTTGGCTTTGATTATTTTCCCTTATCAGCTTCCGGTCATAAACCTGCTATCATCGCGTGTGCTCGAGAGAGCGCTAATTTTGAATTAAAGAAATACAACTTTCTTTACATCTCCCCCCCTGGGGAAGTACTGTATCCGCCACTCCGATTATATGTGTTTCGATGGTTTCTTTTTGTGTGTTTCCGCTTAAGATTGGTGTGAGTTTTGTAATGTGGTACAGATTAGATTCTGATTTTCTGTATCCTGTATCTATTTTATNAGTCGCTCTTGTCACTACGCGTAGTGACAAGAGCGACTGTGTTTGAGGTAGGCACGGCCTCACGACTGGAGGTTCCTTCCCTCAAACAGAGGTTTTGCAAAAATCACTTATTTTACTAAGTGCGTCGTATCCCTATACCGACGGAAGCTCCCACACCGTCGGTTGACTTGATTACTTACTTGGTCGTGTGCCAGCTTTCTGCCACAGTAATCGAAGTGCTCGCTACGGGTTTGAGGCGGCCTTATTAAGGCGCGCGCCGGGATCGTGGTTGTGAGAAGGCCTCCCGGCCGGCGCCGCCTAGCGGCGACTCCGGGAGTCTCGCCGTGTCGGACGGGTTGCGCGGTTACGCGGGGACGGAGACGATATGCTCCGTGACAGAGTTTTATTTATTATTTACAAACTATTAAAGATCTTAAAACTAAAAGTCTATAGTTCTCACCTGTAATAGGAGAAACGACATTTAAAGTTAATATTCTTCTCGTGTCCTTTCCTCTTTACAAATTGGTTAAAGATCACACTTTTATTTAATGCACACTTTGGCTTTGATTATTTTCCCCTATCAGCTTCCGGTCATAAACCTGCTATCATCGCGTGTGCTCGAGAGAGCGCTAATTTTGAATTAAAGAAATACAACTTTCTTTACATCTCCCCCCCTGGGGAAGTACTGTATCCGCCACTCCGATTATATGTGTTTCGATGGTTTCTTTTTGTGTGTTTCCGCTTAAGATTGATGTGAGTTTTGTAATGTGGTACAGATTAGATTCTGATTTTTTGTGTCCTGTATCTATTTTATAAATTGATTGCGACATTTTATCTATTATTTGGAATGGTCTAATTTTTAACTCATCCAGTTTTTTTCTATTTAGTCGATTTCCGTTTTCAACAAATACTAAGTCACCAACCTGAAATTCGTGTTCCTTTCTATGTTTATCGAATTGGGTTTTATTATAATTGTGTGATTTAATTGTGTTTCGTACCGCTATTTGTCTATCTTGAGATAAGTTATTATCAATTATTACCTCTTTAAGTTCGTGTGGTAAAATTGACAAATTTTTTCCTTGCAATAAATATTTTGGCGCAAATCCTGTGACTGTGTGTTCCGTTTCATTGTATTTTTCTGTACAAATTTGTGCTACTGTAGTCCACACTGATTTCTTCTCTGTTTCGTTCATTTTGCACCTTATTTTATTCACCAGTGTCTGGTTTAGCCTTTCATTTAGGCCGTTCGAGAATGGTGAATTTATTGCTGTGAAAATGATTGGTATTCCATTATTATTTAGGAACTTTTTAAACTCTTTCGAGTTGATACCAGGGTATTGATCTGATAGGATCATTCCAATTTTATTGTTATCACACACTTTACTAATTAATTTTATAAAGTCTCCTGAATTCTGGGTTTTTGAAGTCAAGATATATGCATATCTGGTAAAGTGATCGACTAGCAGGTGTAAGTATCTTTTTGTGGATCGTGATCCTCCAAATCCTCCGATCGT